TGGAGAGGATTGGAGCTGAAAAATTTGTAAAGGTAGAAGGTGAGGATAAAATGTTTTTTGTGATGGAAAGTACTCATTTTGGCATTTGCAGACCCAGACGACTTTTTATCTTAGTACTTTCTATGTATTGGCATAAAACATCGTGCTTTTCCCTTGCCACACAAAGGTCAATTATATCTCAATTGATTTAGGAGAGAGTTGCCGGTAATGGTGGTAAGAAACCCCAGTGCAGCAGTAGCAGCAAACAGGCTTTTCTTGAGGCTTAGTCCCCCCCCAGGTGACCAGTTTATCTCTGGTGTGATGGTGCAACAGGATCTGTGAAGCAGAACATACAGATTTTTTTTTTTTCTCTCAAAGTTACATAGGGCACATAATCACAGCCTAGGACTGCAAACCCCTCCATGTTGCAGTGGTCAGTTCTCAGGATTTTTTTTTTAACAGATAATTCTTTAAAAGTTTGACTTCGGTTTAGCTCATCTGTTTGGGAGAAGGAATCAGTCAAAGCAAGCACTTTTGAGGGCAGCAGAATCGCTGAGCAAGGAGGAGTTCTGGTATATTCGGTGTATGAGGTTTTGTACTTGATCAGAAGCTGATGTACTGCAGTTAGGATTTTAAAGCCTGCCTTCAGACTGGTGTAAGGGACTCTTCTGCTCCTTTCAGAAGGCTTAAAGGTTTTGATTGCTTTGTTTTGGGTTTTTTTGGGGCAGTATTGTGTTGGCAGTAGATCTGATGCTTCATTAAATGCAGTGGTACTGTAAATTTCCTAATAAACTGATCGCCTGATCTCTTCAAATTAAATTACTTCTTTGTTTCTTGTAGCATCTTTAGCTTATAGGAAGCTAAGGAGACAACAAGAACCATTTAATTGCTTCGAGAGGCCACGTTTGTGTTCTGAGATTTATATTTTTCTTTGTTTTTGGTCTCAAAAGCCAAGTTAACTCTGCATGTGCTGCAAAGTTTTGAGTCCAAGCTGCTCAGTTTTTTGTCAGCTGAAGCTTATTGATGGTACAAAACATCACAGCTTTGAGTAAAACAGATGCTGTGCAACCATCACAATCTAGAGCAAAAATTTATTTTGCATCCTAAGTACCTGACCTGATACAGGACTGTGATTCTGGGGAATGTCCTGCAGCATCCTGACAGCAAGTGGGGTCTGAAATCAGTTTGCCTCATTTATGGAGGTGTCTGGGGTCAGAGTTTTTGGCTTTGGCTCACAGCTGTTGGGGTGTTGCTGGGAAAAAGGCCACCACTTGAGTTCCAGCTTGGAAGTCTGGTTACAGAAGAGCATAGGCTTCTCTCAAATATGTGCTGCTTCCACAGTGAGGCATTGTAGCTGTTTAAAATGAGCTTGCAATGTCTGTGAGGGTCCTGGCTTTTTCACTGCTGATCGTGTTTTGTAGCAACAGAGAAGGGGGAGGGTGTGTATGCGGAGCGATAGAGCAGAAGGTGTGTTTGTTTGCAGCTACTTCAATTAAAAAAAAATTAAAAACCCCCCACCAAATCCCAAACTCCTGGATTCTAGAAAAGCAGGTAAATGGAATGCTCTTCAGTGTTGCTTTGCTTCTCAGCATTCTCTTAACTGTGGAGATGCCAGAGGTGCCTGTTCCCAGTGTGCGGCTGCGACCCTGGCCCTGCGCCTTCACCCCTCCGCAGCCCCGGCCGGGGGGCAGGAAGGGGGTCGGTGACCTGAGCAAGTCGGGTGAGATGATTATGGTCTGGACATACCCACCCAAAGGGGTGGTGGGGTTTGGGTGGGTGGTTTTTTTTTTTGTTTTTTTTTTTTTTTGTTTGTTTGTTTGTTTGTTTGTTTGTTTTTTATTGTGTTTGTTTGTTTTGTCTTTTTTGTCTTTAAAAAGTTCCCTTAAGGTAAGCAATTTCTGCAAGTGGCCTAGCGTGTTATTTACTGGGTAGGTGTGCTTAGCATGGTGGGTTTGAGAGGTGTGAGAGAGCTTGTTCCTCAAGGGGAAGGCAAGTAATGTGCTAGCTTGTGTCTTTACACCCTTAACCTTTTTTTTTTTTTTTTTTTCAATCTATACTAGTAGCCTGGGAGAAGAGGTGCCTTATACAAATATCTCCTGATGTGTCACCACCTTTTTCTTTTTTTTTTCCTTTTTTTTTTTTTTTTTTTTGTTTCCTTTTCATTTGGTTGTTTTTGGAGGTTTATTTGTTTTATTGTTTTGGGGTTTTTTTGTGGCTTTGTTTGTTTTGGGGTTTTTTTTGTGTGTTTTTTGTTTTGTTTTGTTTTTTGTTCGTTTGTTTAGGGTTGGTTTTTTTTTGTCCTTGTTTTGTTTGGATTTTGTTTGTTTGGTTGCTATTTTTTTACCAACAGAGATTTATTTCTGTTAATCACTCAATACAGCAAATACAGAACCTTGGACCTACATAGTTTGGTTTCACTTCCAGTGTTTAAGTCATCAGTGCTTTAAAAGATGTTCTTCAACCTTCTTCTGTGATTAGTCTATTACTCATTTTGAAACAAAGATTAAAGGGTGGTTTGCGGTTTTTAAAAATTATTTGAAAAATGTAGGTATTTATTTCTTAGAATTAGGAAAAAGTCGTAAAAAAGTGATCTCTGATGCGTTGGTGAGACTGCAACATTCACAACAGCGGGGGGAGGAAGTCCACGGATGACAAAATGAAGAGCCTGTTAGCAGCTTGGTCGGCTTCGAAGGGGGTTACGGGCTTCAGGCGGGCGCCCGTCCGTGGTGTCCGGCCAGCCCCACCGCCCTGCCGAAACAGCGGGTGCTGTGGGCTCCTGCTAGAGATAGGCGGGCTCTCGTCTGTTGTTCTCTGCCAGCAGCTTTGCACCACGGGAGGCGTGGGTTTAATACACGCCTCGCTAAACCCCGCGGCTTCGACCGTGAGAAAGGGCACCTTCGCTCCCAGCGGCCTCGCTGCACGTGGCGGGTGGGCTTGTCCAAATCGACCCCGATGTGTCTCGCCGAGCACCTGGGCTGCTGGCACAGGGTTTTATAGAGGGGTCCTTCTCCGAAGGCACATCTTCATCTGAAATAGCTCAGTGGAGAAGCCTAAAAACTCGGCTCCCCAGGAAGGCACGGGGGCTCCCAGGGCTGTTCTCCCCTTCCCCGGCCGCGCCGGAGCAGGTACACGTGCCGTGCCGCCGGGGCACCTGCTGCTTCCGTGTTAGGCAAGCCCAGCAGTGTGACATTTATTTTACTTTTTTTTTTTTTTTAATATTTTATTTCACTTTTTAAGCCACTGGCAGGCTGAAGAGATGAGTTTTGAGCGCTGCTCGGGGTCCCTGGGTGATGCTGGCATGTTCAGTACAGGAACACAGCAAAGGCTTCAGCAGCAGGTAGGGTTGCAGTTTGCCAGTGAATTAAAAAATTACTAATGAGGGCTGAGATAGCAAATGCCTGTCTTACAGAAAAAATAAGGCTATAAACCCCCCAACATTTTAGTAACCAGGGAGGATCATAGTTTTTTCTGCTATCCATCTTTGCTTTTTGATCTGCAGTGACCATTGGGCTGTGAATCTGGAGAGGCTGATGGCTGAATGTTACTTAAAATAGTGATGTTCTGCCCTACCTCTTCAATCCAGTTGCCTCCTTATTTATTGCCATTTACTGCTGCTTGTGTAGGTGAAGCTCAGCTGGCCAAGCATCATCCCACCAGCACTGCAGGTTGGCCACTCTAGTACAGCAAGCCCAGCCACGCTTGGTTCTAGAAGTAACAAACCAAAAGCCAAAAATATTACAGTGTGAATAATCTGTATTACTTGTTTGAGAAGGAGAACTCAGCATGGGTATAGCTTAATTTATTGACATATTGCCTGAGGCTGCACTGATCCTTGGGAGAGGTTACTGGAGGCAAACCCGTGCAAGTGATGGAAAGACCCAACTGTGCTTTCTCTCCAGAAACCTGGAATGGAGAAAATAGGGAGAAGAAAATAAAGTGTGATTATTTTTTTCCTTTTATTTTTTTTTTTCCCTTTTTAAAATTTTGTATGTTTTCTAGCATTCCACTGACATCTTCACATTTTTATAAGAATGTCCTTTGCTTTGACTGAGAACGATGGGGTGGCTTCTTTGATGTCTCCAGACAGGGTTTGGCTTGATCATATCTGTGCTGCAGCACAGAGTGCAGAAAGGCATCTGAGGAGGGCAAGTGAGACGGAACAGGCAAAGGTGGAGAGATTGACAGTGGAACAAATGGGTCTGAGTTAAGTTTTCTGTATTCAGGTATTCACAATCCAAGTACTGAAAATATAATTTAGCATTTTTTGCTTCAGCTTTTGTTGGGGGTGGGGGGCAGATGGGTGGGGAATGGGTGACTAGAAAATCTGGTCTGGCAGTCTACAGCAGTAGATATTGTGTTCTTCTGTTTTAACTCTACCTGAATGCAAGATACAATCTTTGAAATATTTTAAATAGAGAACTGCTTCAGCAAGATGGATTTCTGCATATCATTTACAAAGTATGTTTTTAATGCCTTTCTGAAATCCAAACTTATGCAAAATGGGGCTTGTTATGCATGTCTATGCATTTTAATCTCCTGCAGTGATTTGTCAGTTTTCCTTAACATCTCCCTGGCATATTACAGCCATTCTTCAACTTCGCTTCACAGGGCTGTGTTTCTGCCTTAACTCAGTTCTCCGAGTAAGGAATGAATTGCAATTTAGTTATTGGATGGTAAGGTTTATAAGTTGATGTGCCTCTTTCCTTGGATTTGGATCAGTATCAGTTACGGATTTAAAGACTGGGAAAACCTGAGCATAACTTGGGATACAGTGTCTTTTATTTTATGCGTTAGTGTAAGCAGTTGTTACACAGCTGTCTTGTTAATGTTCTTGTTTCTATTGATTTGTGCTACTTGTGGGTTTCAGTTTTATATTGATAATTGGTTAGTCTTTTTTTTTTTTTTTTTTTAAATTCTGCTTGGAATGTCTAAAATAGCTCAGCTAACCAAAGAGTTGATGTGATTTTTTTTTTTCTTTCCTTTTTTTTTTTTTTTTTTTTTTTTTTCCCTCCTCTTTCCAGATGGGCTTTCTGGCAGAGACCAGCCAGTAGAGCTGTTGAATCCACCTAGAGTGAACCACATGCCTAGCTCTGGTAAGAAGAAACTTTTATTAAATGTTGTTCCTATTCTGAGAATGCAGTAAAATATTCTGCAGCTCTATCTTGCTAGTGGGAGAGCAGAATGCAAATGTAAAATGCTGGAAAAAAACTGTGTTAGAACTTGCACACATCTACTTTCCCAGGCTGGGTGAGTGGGAATTGGGAGCGGAAGGAGGATGGAGCAGAGCAGCCTTGGGAGTCTTAAATAGCTCAGCCCTCACCCTTGGCAGGGGGCTGAGGAGAGCCTAACCTGGTTGGAGCTGCTTGTCTTGCCTTGGAAAGGAGAGGGCAGCAGAACGAAGCAGCACCTTACGATTTTCACAGCCTAAAAGGAGCTCTGCGAAGCAAAGTAGGTTTTTGAGTTGCTGCTCCCATTAAGGAGAACTCTCCTGGTGTTGAAATGAGGAGCCAAACACGACTGATCAAAGCGTGCCACGCTGGGCTATTTGCTTTTCTTCCTTCTTCTAATGATCCTGCTCTGGCGTCTCTTGGGTCTTGTCCTTCTGGTATGAAGGAAGCACAGCAGCCACAGTGTTCATCCTGGAGACTGGCTGCTCCTCATGGGGCCGAGAGAGATATTTATGGCTCACAGTTGCAGCACTTCAAGTGATGGAAATCAAAGTTGTGGTCATAATACATGAAATACCATAAAAAGCAATCTGCGGCTGTCTTCTGTGTTTCCCTCTTCTCTCTTCCAGAAGTGTTTTGTTCCCAGGTGCAAACAGGTAGATGTATTTACACTAGGGATGATAGGATATATGAAGCATTATCTACTTTCCAGGTAGGAGCTTGAGTTTTCCAAAAACCCAACTTTCCCTTCTCTGTTGCTTTCCAAAATGCCTTTAGGTCCTTTTATATTAAAGGAGAGATCTTGCAGAAGATCTAAGCACTTCTGGTAATGCAAGTTGGAAAAATGTAAACGAAGCTTATTCAAAACAACTTCAGTAGATTAGGAGGAGGGGGAAGTGGGCTGTGACCTAACCTAGATTTTTGTGGATTTAAGTGCATGTCTGGCGAAGGAAACTTTTAAGGAGATAGAGCTGTTGTGTTGGAAAAAAAGGGAAGAGATCCTCATTTACCAGATACGAGTGCTTGGCTTCTGATTCTGAGAAATCTCTCTTCCCTCCGTGTGCTCCAAAACTTGTTCATGAGGTATGGGAGATTATATTTTCCTAACGCTGAGAGAGATTCTCATTTTAAGGCTACCTTGGTATAACACTGGTCAACTTAAAGCTTTTACTACCCATTTCCTATCCATGTGCTAGGTTGAATTTTGTGGCTCTGCACAAGAGGAGTCACAGTCCTCTTTTTTGTCAGTAGATCAACGGTCAGTATTGTGAATGTGGTGAGCTTTAGTCTTTTACTCTTCTATCTTTTTGGGAAATGATTTCGTTATTGCTTGTTATGTCTAATGTCTCATTGTGAGATACTTCAGGACAAAGGCTGATGCTAGTTAACATCTTGGGTAACCTGGTGGTAGAGTTTGGTGTGCTCTGCCTACTTTTTCCCAGAGGAAAGGAGGCTTTTTTAAGGTGTTGTGGACTCATACAGGATTTACAGAATTCTTGCCGTTTGGACTCCATTTTAAGTATTTTTAATAGCTCATCTGTATGCCTACTGAAAAAAATAAACAGCTAGCCATCACTGGGAGGCTGCATTCATCCTAAGTGGGTGGGATGTGAGATGGGCAGCAATGTCTCTTTGGCGAATGACTTCTGCCTGTATTTGAGCCGTGGGAATCCCTGACTCATGCTGGAAAACTCAGGCTGGTTGTACCTGTAACAGGCGAAGGGTAGGACCGACTGGGAGGGAAAATGTGACCTTCTGCAAGAGGCAGCATTGGCTTTAGACAGTGGTCACTTAAGTACTTTTCACTCGAGACCGTGTGCTTACTCAGTTTCTGCTAAATTTTGGAGAAGTCTTTTCAGCCCTGCAGTGCGTACTTGGGCTAGAAATGTCTCTCTTATGTTTTGATTTGCAGAATGGTAATTGAAACCTGGAAGCAGAGTCTTTGGCAAAAAGATTTTTCGGCAAGTTTGTAAATGCAAGCAAATATCATTGATCTTGGAAGTGGGTCATCAGCTGGCAAGTGTGGTGCCTGCCTTTACCTATGTATTCTCATGAGTTTTTAAAATGCCTGTTAAAAGTTGCTGTCAGATTGAGGGAGTTACCCACTCTGGGAAACCATTATCATGTCTGGTTTTTATCGTTATTATCTTTAGGACTTTGCTGCAGATCCTTCTGAGAGAAGAAAGGAGAAGTAATACCAACTATTGCTCTGGAAAAACAAGTTGTATGGGGGTTTATGGGGTGTTGTTCCAAGTCTCAGGCATGACTGAAATAATGGGGTTGAAAAACAGCTTAAGGAAAAAAGTGCTTGAGAGTGTCCTGTGATATTCCATTTATAACCTTACCCGTCCTGGTTATGGTAAAGCGACTGATTTGTAGCCCTCATGATGAATAAACTTGAGTGGACGAGGAGCCTTTACCCCCAGAACTACATTTATGCTTAAGATAAAATCATTGAGGCGTGCTTGTAGGAAACAAAACTGTTTTCTCTTCACCACGGACCAACTGAAGGAGAAGTTTGATCCTTGTTGGTTGTTTTTCTCTGATGTAAAGGGGTGAGAAGGGGATGTACAGTCCTCAGTCCCTAAACATGCTTCGTTCTGTGGAAGCATCTCAAGTACAAAGTCAAAATGTTTAGAGCATTTTTTTGAAACCATTTTAGGAGTGAATTGTGTTGAGTAGAGTGGAGTTCAGTCATTGACAAGGTGTGTTTTTAGGAAACTGATTTCTCTGTCTGCTTTTTGCATAAATTAAGGATTAATTTAAGGAAGGGAAACATTTTCTCTTTTCAAAAATGTATCACCCATAATTGGTGCTTCTGAATTTTAGTTGCTTGTAAAAGTAAACAAGAGAAAACCCCCACAACCCACATCTTGCACAGGAATATAATAATGCTGCTTTCTGTTTTTCTGGCTTCAGAATGTTACGGCACCTTTGGCCTGGGGGAGAAAGGATCAATGTTGCTTTTCCTTAACTTTTACTTGATGAATTTAGAGATCCTCAGCACAGAACCTACACAAATTTATTTGTTTTTAATGTTACATGGAAAATCTCATGACGATTAAGGGGCCAAGTTTAACAGGAGAGAAAGCGTGGTCACAGCCTGGTTGCGATGGGTGGCAGCAGATCACCTGCAGGATGAAGGAATTGTCCTGCAAGTCAGCATCCTGAGTTTAAGTAATTTTTTTATGTGTGTTTTACAGTATTTTTCTTCTTAGCAGTGAATTTAGTTGCAGTCTGCATAAGGGGACTGATTCATATGTAAGGAGGGAGGCACAGAGCTCTCTTGTCCTTAGAATTTTCCTTCCTATGCTTTTAAACTGAGCAATGCTATGCTTTTGCCACAGTGCAAAGCTGGAGGGGCTAGTCTTAAAGACCTCAATTGTCTAAGCATGTTGTAGATAATCCTCTTAAAAACATCACTTGTGTAGTGTTGATACCATCCTTGAGATTTATCAAATAGATCTTCATTAATCATACTTTGCAGAATGAGTTTTCTTTCTTTATAAGCCTGTGTTTACAGTACTTTAGATAACTACCTCTCGTAAGTCTTATCAGTTTTTCTTATTGGTATAAATTTTGTAGTTGCTCATTTTCTTGCAATAAGATCTTAAGCAATTTATTTAGTATTAGAAATGTGAAAACAGCTTGATATCTGCAATATAGAAAGGAAATGCTAGAATTAAATAAGATGGAATCTAGTCCTTTTTAAACTTAAAAGCCTTATTTTAAGTAATGAGACTGCAAATTAGGATGAATAGTCTCAGCCGACCAGCCGTGTTTCCCCAATATGCTGGTCAAGGCTTAATGTGAAGTTCTGGGGATATCTGTGTACAGTGCCATTACAGAATTAGGAAAGAAATTCCCCTTCCCATAGCATTTCCATTGGCTTTCCAGGGATGCGCTCCCAGGTTGTGATAAAAATAATAGTGAAATCATATAACTCGTTGCTGTGGTTGAGGGCAGCTGACAAATAATTTGCGTTGGGATGTATCAGCTACAGAATAGAGATGTATGGAGAGGTTGAGGAAAAGATGCTGGGCTTCTTGCCCGTAAGGTGAAGACTTCTCCCTGGCCGCTGTTGTGATTGGGATGGAAAGCTGCCACCCCGAGGTTGTTCTCCATCTGTCATCTGCAAACCACTGGTGGTCTGCAAGGCCATCGCCCACGTGAACGAAGTGATCAGTGGTGGTTTTCTGATGAGTTTTTGAGGCTTGATACAAGTCTCCTGCAAAACGCTAGGAATTGATGGGTTAAAACATAATGGGTGGCTGCTGCTGAGCAGTTTCTAGAAGAGTAACAGAGGCTTGGCTGGGGATGTCCTAACAGTGGTGATGAGCAGATTGCATCTTCTACGTGAGGCTGCTTGAAACAGCTCTTCCATGTGTGGCTGTCCCCTTGCTCTCCACGCAGGGAGGTCCACACTGAACTCATGCTACTGCTCAGCTCTCGGCACGGCTCTTCCAGCATGGTACTGGGACTCTTCTGGATTTGATACTGGCAGGAACAAGGGCAAGGTGGCAGGGGCAGCCGGAGGATTATGCATGAGATTTCAGCTCTCTTGCGTTTTCTTCTTCCTGGATTGTCATGGTTTGAGCCTGGTCGGCAGCCAATCACCACACAGCCACTCTCTCTCCCTTCTCTTCCATCAATAAGAAAGGACAGAGAGCCAGGCTTGGGGTTATAGATAGGACTGGGATGGGGAAAAAATCCTACTTTATGGTCACAAGCAAAAGGCAGACTCATTAGGGAAAGAAAAAAAGAACATACATATTACAGACGCTAACAACACGTAACAGTAGGACAGTGAGAAGCATTGCCACATCTTGAGAACACCTTCCCCCCACCCCTCCCCTCTTCCCGGGCTCAGCTCTGCTCCCGATATCTCTACCTCCTCCCCCAGTGGCGCAGGGGCAGGGAATGGG